AACACAAGTTGATGTAGGGATGCCAGAGGGGTGGGCAGCCTTGGAGGTGCTCCTGCCACCCCCAGATGTTTTCCTCTCCTGCAGTGATTAGATTAAAACAAGGAACTGATGGCTCTGCTTACGCAGAAGGGAGGAGAAAGTCTAAAGGTTTAAAAGGTGCAACTTCTTTTCCTTGCTCTGTGAAGTGTGATCCTAAGATATCTGACAGAGGCAAAAAAAACCTCACTGCCCCCTCTTCATTAAAAGGTAAGAGTTTGATATTCACTATATTAAAGTTTGCCATAATTGCATTACTGTATGTCTATATCCTGTGTAAATTTTCACATTTCAATTCATTGTTTTATTAGTAAACCTAGTTCATAAAGTAAAAACCCGAATCAAGAATCACAATTTTTTGGGGAAAAGTGAAATTGAAAAATTCTAGAAATTTTTCATGAGTAAGTGACTAAGAAACTACTATGCAGGTGAAGAAATTAGGGTTCAGTGAAGTCCTATAATATTTTAAAGCCTTTGTTAGATGTCATTTTCCCCTCCTTTTATTGTTGTAATATCTCCTTTTTATTAGAGATAAAAGGTCTGTATTTGTGCCAGTTCCATTCACAAAATACCTTAAAGAAATCTCAACAAAATAATTTCTTAACCTAGAAGACTTAGAAAATTTTACTTGCAGAATACAATCTGCCTAGGATCATCTCTCCAACCATTTTTATTCATTTTGGTCTTCTCTTCTTCCAGAATCAAGTAAGCATTTCTTAAAATAAATAGAAAAATGAATTATTTTTTAAAAATATAAACATAATCTTTCAGGCTCAAGTAAGAGGGACTTACTCTTTATATGCAACACTATAACAAACAAGTTATAGCAATTTTCTTAAAAATTAAAATCTATAGTTGAACACGTGTTTTTCTTTAAAAAAATAGTAAACTCCCTTAGGCCAAGCTTGACTCTTACCTGTCTTCAGTAGTAGGGTCAACTACTGCTGGCATTTTTTCCCTTTAATTAACCTAAATTCTATTTGTCTTAAATACATTCTTAGCACACATTCCTACACATTTTGGCATAAAAAACATTGTTCTAACTTTTCATGAAAGAGTCAACCAGAACGGTTACAACTACTGTATGTGCAATTTAATTTACTAGTAGTTATATAATACCTATGTTATCTTGCACATGCTTCCCCCATGGTATTGTATAAAATATTTAATTTTTTAAAAAATCTTGCTGGATTCCAACTTCAAATATGGATTTTATTGCTAGAGTGTGGGGTGCGTGTATGCAGGATGCATGCTTAAAGGTTAGGGAAAATCAGTTCCCCCACCTTATTATTTGCTGTAAGCCTATATTACTTGTTACAGTACAGTTAGTGGCAGCATCTAGTCAGTCATGGCACGGTTAAACATTTCCATATTGTTGCCAAGAAAACAATACAAAGTATAGTCACTTTGATGTTCTACTTATGCTATCCCAGACATAGCAAGGCTTTTCTGATCTGTATTCTTGAAATTTAATTAATGCAAAGTGGTGAAATGCTTTAAACTTTCAAGTCACATTTCCTTCAGTATTTATTTTTTTCCATAAACTCAAGCGTTTTATTATCTCCTTTTCTCCGTTACACCTGCTGCAATTTACATCTGCAGCATTTTATATGTCAGTTGCCCTCAACCATAGATTAAACTGTTCTCTTCAAACATGCCTGTTTTTGCCTTTGTTTTGACTATTTCTTCCTCTTTTGCGAATGGAAAGTTGGTTACCCTTAGGGAAAAAATCAGAATTGTGATTAGGCAACAATGCCTTCCCCAAGTAAAAGATAATAGGGAAGAAGTCTCATTCTTGGCATCCAGAGCAGAATTTCATTTTGAACCTGACAGAAAATCTAACATAGCATAATATTTTGATATTGGAGCTCCTATTTTACCTCTCCAGATAGTCAGTCAACCAACCAACCAACCACATTCTCTTTCACAAAACTTCCATTTTCCATTCCTCCCCACCCTGTTATTCAGCATTCCATCACTCTAAATTAGAGTGTTTGGGGATTTCTCCATAAGTCAGGATCTTTCCCTCACTAATTTTTTTTTTTTTTTTTGTATCTATACCAAATGTTCAGTTTTTGGATGCTACTCTCATTGATGTTTAAATTTGGAAATGAGAAATAAATCGGAATACAAACGTGGTCTCTGTGTAGGACAACCATCTCAAATTTTTGATATTATTTTATGCTTATTCTCATTGAACATTTTGAACTCTGTGGCTATTATTTTTCCTTCCATAAATATTTTCCCTCCACCTTTTTGTTTTAATTTTTGCAAGTTTTGGAATCCTATGACTTAGGAGATAATATTGATATTTCCCACTTTGCAGTTTATTCTGGAAACTACAGATTGCTAATTTCATATTTTCTTGTGATAAAATTCCCATGTTATTTTGCTATATATTATTTTACTTCACTTATGTTGTCTTGTTATATTTTTTCTGAGGTACACACAAACACCATTACCATTGTTAGAATTATGCTGAGCAAAAACTGTATGCTTTCCTTTCCTTATATAAATTTTTCTAATTCCATGTGGAATATTTATTATTGAACAATATGTACTCATTTGTTGTACTAAGATGACCCTTAGTTACTCCTGAAAGGTTGTTACACATGTTTCTTCTCAAGTATCTTCTGTCTTGTTTTTTGTTCTGTAAATATTGGCAAAGATCAAGCTTGGGATTTGTCAAAGCAACTACAGTATGATGTTCAGGTGGAAAGCCAAATGCCTTGGGGCCAAACTAGAAATAACACAGAAGCAGCATGAGTTGCACTTCTGACATTTTTTAAAGGAAATGTTATTAGAAGAATCTAAGTTAAATAAAAGATGAGAAAAAGCTTGTTAAACTTTATTCTTTAGATATTTTCATTCAAAATCTACTTTCTTAACTGTTTCTGTTCAGACTTACAAGAATGTACAATAATTTTCTTGCATTCACACATCCTGGCAACCTGTAATTAGTATAACAGTTTATTGAATTAACCAAAATAGGCTGGGAACACACAATATGCTGACTTACAAGTAAATAAACTATATTATGGCTTAGTGTGGTGTGGAAACCATATTTTTATGTGTATGTGTAAGAAACTGTGCTGTTCTGAATACCCAAATAATAGGAATGGAACTATAAACCAGCTTCTTTTGCCAGTTGCAGCTTCCAATATCATTATTTGTTTCATATACAAAAGAATTGTAATATATATCTTAAGTCATGACATATATTTTAAAGATTGAACTTTTAATTGTATGATTTCTTTAATAATAAAGTTTTAAAAGTTATGCAATTATAACTTTTTATAATTAAAAGTTATACAATTTCTGCATTTCTAAACAGTAAATAGGTCCTAACATTATTTTTAAGACTACTGTTTCCCAGAAAATAAGACCCTGTCTTAAATTTTTTGGCCTTATTTTGGTGGGGTTTTTATTATTTTGGGGCACATGGAGCAAGACGGGGCTCCTTTTGGCATTTTACCTGATTTCCAGCTCTGTATCCCTAACCCTAACTAGAGGAAATGATGGGGACTGGCTGTGCATGTGTTTAAATATTTTCGGGGAGGGCTTATTTTCGGGGAGGCCTTATTTTTGGGGGTGGGTGGGTTATTTTAGTGCATGTGCTCAAAAGCCCGATTGGGCTTTTTATCAGGGGATGTCTTATTTTCAGGGAAACAGGGTAGTATTCTCTTTTCATTTGTATCAGATTATTGTTTTTTCTTGCAATATTTCCCACTGAGTGTTAGTTTAGCAGTTAATTGTCCTACACTGTTATTGTTACAAATTGTTTCAGAAAAAAATATTTTTTTTAATTTTTGTTGGAAAAAAAACAGTAACAGTTCAGTTAAATAACACTTTCAGTAAGCACATACTGTGTCCCAAGAAGTAGGTACAATTAGGCAGGTTTTAGCTTGATAAATTCTTGGCGAATCCATGTATATTTATACTGGCCTATTCCAGGACAGCTAACGTCGTTCAGGTCTATTAATAATTATCTAGCAGTAAAATGTACTGTATTCAGAAAGTCACTTATAAATGTACTAGAAAGGCAGTCTCTGATACCATGATAGAGTCATAATGATAAGCCTGGAAAGTGAAGAGTCTGAAATAATGCACCACAGTAGGAGTCACACAGCGCAGGCTGTAACTTGAACAGTTTGAATTTAAAAAGTATGCTGGCTGTAATCTGGAGCAATTTTTCCCCCCAGTTGCCAGCATTTACAATAATTTTGCCTGATTTTAGGAGTCCAAATCTACTTGGTAGATAAATTGCCTCAATGCCCTCTATATACGAGTATGGAAGGAATACGTCCCCTCTTTTAACCAATCTTGAACAGGATTGCTTTTCCTTATACAAGACAGACCAGCCGTCCAAATTCAAGCGACAGCCACTGCCCGAGCGCATCTCCTGGGACAGGCCAGACACCCGATTGTCATCTCAAAAATGGGCATGGGCGTGAAAAGCACCTGCGGTGGAAATGCCATCGTAAGGACAGCTGCATCGGTTGGGTTTGAGCCCATAAGCGGGCAACTCCGAAGCGCTTCTGTAAAACAAGGCAGAGCGCATGGAAAAAGATTCACTTGCATCTCCTTAACTGGAAAGCGATATAAGCACCTCTTGTGCTAATCTGGATATCGCCTCTTCTTCGACCCTGACTGTCACCTCTTCGAAGAAGGCGAGGACACCGCAACGGACGCGCTCCGCGAAGCTAAATCGAGTTCTCCTACCCTTCGCAACCTGTTCGAACCTTTGAAACTGCGTCCCTTGTACCCCGCCGACGCACATGCGCAATGTCTTCCTTGCAGGAAAAATTCGCGCCGGGCGGGGGGAGGGAAGGAGGTGAGGAAGCGCGCAGGCGCGCCTCTGGTGCTCCGCGGGGAAGCGGCGCCTCCTTCCTCGCACGCTTGTGACGCGTGGCTCCGAGCCCCTCCTCTGGCCCGGCTTTCCTTATAAATGCCGCCTCGCTGCGGCCTTTCTTCCTCTTCTGCCTTCTCGCGGTGTTCCGCTGCCCGGTGTTCGTGTTGGTTGCCGTCCCGCCGTCTCTCTGGCCGCCCGGGTCTCTCGTCGCCTCCCATTTTTCATCCCCTTTTTCCCGCGAGGTGCCGCTTCTTTCGGCTGCTTCTGCTCCGCCGCCTCAGCGCAGATTTGCGCTCTTTCTCTGGTCGCCCCCGCAGCCTATGGCCCTGGAAGGCGCCGTTGCCGCCTCCTGTATTTCTGCTGTAGGTTCCCACATCACTCTTTAAAAATTCCGCCTAAAAAGAGAAGACGATTTACCAAATCTTTCGGGCCGTTGTCCCACGTGAGTATGCGATTATTCGGGGCCTGATTTCGAGGTGTGTCTGCGTAGATGTAGCGGGGTGGGTACCCTGGAGGGCAGGCGGCGGCGGCGGCGGCCCCTCTGGGGACTGAAACTTGCCCTCCAAACGCGGCGGGAAAGGGAAAGAACCTTCGAGGCGGCGTGTGTGTCTGTGTGTTTTCGTGGGTGCGGACATCCCTCACAGGTGTCTGGGAGAGGAGTGGGGGGAGGGACACCCACTTTCCTTCTGGGGAGCATCGGAGAGGGCTGCCCTGTGACATCGGCGCGAAGTTCTCGGGAGGAAGCCGCCTCCAGAGCCTCCTCTCCCGCCGACCAAGACTAGATGCGGGGAGGCGGTCGTGCCTTGGTTCGCCCTCTTCCCGAGGAGGCATTTTAGCTTTCTAGAAGCGGAGCACCGCCGGCTTTTAGCACCGCCGGCGGCTGGCTGCTGGACATCGCGTCCCAGCTGGTGTCTGAGGACGGGGAGCGCGGGTGGTTCGTGCCGTGGCGTGGGTGCATCTGGCTGCGCCTTGGCCTCCTCTTGCTTCTTACTTCTGAAGGGAGGGAAAAGCGGTCGGCGGTGCTTATGTCTGTGTCGGAGGGAGAGAAGCGGCTTCTGTTCTAACATGGCGGACGCTCGCGTGGGCGGAGAAGGGCCCGCTGTCTGCGGCGGGGCAGACGCCCGGTCTAGTCCGGCGCCGGGCATTTGAGCGGAGAATCGAAGGGGAACCGAGAAGCGGGAATCCAGGCGCAGCGCCCGGAGGAGAACATAGCGGAGGGGCTCGGCGGTGGCGGCGGCTCTAACATGGCGGATTCCTGTGGAAGGGAGTGGGAAGCTGTCGCCGCCGCCGCCGCTTGTGTGGCTGCCTCAGAACTGGGTCACTTCGCAGGGAAAGGCTGAAGAAGCAACAGCCGTTTTAGCCTGTTGTCACTGAAGGGGAGGCGGGTGGCGACGGCCAGACCGGGGTCGAGGGGTGGGTGGGCGTTGTCAGGTTGGGAGAAAGGCGATCCCTGGTCCCCTGAGAAGCCGGCGTGGTCCCTCCTAAGCCCGGGAAGAACGTTATTTTGTCGGGAGGTCTTCCTCAGGATGGGTTGGGGAGATTGGCCTCAGGAGACTGAGGCCCCCATTTTGTGACAGGAATGAGGACCGCTGGTAACATGGCAAAGCTTTCTTCCCACCACCTCCGGGTGCGGGCATGGCAAGGTTGAGCTCAAGCTAGACTGGTTTATGTTGTTGGTTGGCACCAAAATAAGGCTTCCCCTTCTGAACCCTGGGAATCCTCTGAATTCTTCTGTTTCTGATATTGGAAGGGTTGGTGATCCTGTCACAGATTACTGCGTGTGTCACTAAATTGCATAGGTTGTCTGAAGTGTGGGAATTAAACTACATTGGAAAGGTGAAGTGGTCTTTTCCTGGAAAAATAGTTTTGACATAATTTAGGCACCAGCATCTGATATCCACTCTTTGTCATGAAATTATCCTTCATTAGAGTATCAAGTGTATGGTATGATAGTTGACAACATAAAGTGACACCAATTTCGCAGGTACTCACCTTTACATCAGTTTTTCTTCCAAAATGAGTGGCATTAATATCAGAGCCTTTCTTGGATCCTAACGTTTAAGACTCGTTTACTAAAAATAAATAAAACAAGCCCGTTACTATGTTATTTCAACTATTAGACATGCATGTATTTTCCACCCTAATTGTTGGGGATATTTGTGTCATATCAAATTAAAGAGGTTCAATAAGTTCACAAAAATTTTTCTGCTATCTGTACAAAATTTACAGCAGTTCCGTTGATCGGAAATCCACAGTTAGCAGTATTAAAATAAGCCAAAATGACATTAAAGAATATGTCTTAAGTTCTTCAGGACTTTTAGGAAGAGACTGGATAGCTGCTAGTCTAGGTATAGGGCAGGGGTGAAATCTACTTACCTTCCTTACCAGTTTGGAAGTGCACACACCGCATGTGCACGCACACCTGTGCATGCGCAAAAACATTACTTCCTTTTTAAAACCAGGAAGTAATGACACCTGGGTGGCGATCACTACCAAATCGCTGAACCACAGGGAAAAATCGCTACCGGATCAGGCGATCCGGTCCGATATGGGCGTATTTCACCCCTGGTATAGGGTCTCTTGCTTGAACAGAGGGTTGGACTAGAATATCTCCAAGGTCCCTTCCAATGCTGTTATTCTGTTACTGCATTTTCTGCTTTGTTTTGGAATAAGTAGAACCAACCCTGATACAGTTGTAAGTAAGCAGAAGTATAAGTTAGTTATTATTAAACATATGTAAAGGAAAACATCCCAGTTTGGGAATACAGAATTAATACTGTTTTTTTTTTTCTTTTTGAATAAAACTAAGCTAGGGAGCATAGGATTATAGCCCAACAAAAGCAACAGAGTTATTTCGTAGTCAGGAAAAAGTATTTATACACTAAATTCCTCATTTCTTATCCTAGTGTTTATCAGGTAATTGGCAGTTGGTTTCTTGTAAAAAATGTGGCTTTTAGAAAACATTGGAAAAATATATTAGTTTAGCTGTTAAAAGTTGTTTCTTTAGTCTGACCTAATTTATGAAGAGATTGGATAGATAAAAATGAATATAACTGTAATGCTTCTCAGTTATGATACAACTTGACAAACATCTTACCCTGGGGTTAGAGGAAAAAATAATGAAGCTGTTTAATGTCACAAGACAAGACCTTTATTTTGGTCATAATATTAATACATTACATTGACACCTTGTTTATATTGATCAGAATTGACAATCTTGATTTATAATAATTGATGGGGGAAAGCACCTACTTCCCCATTTCCCAGTATAATAGAATTGTTACAGATTATTAACTGAACATGCATCAGAACTTCTGAGTATTAAATATATGCAAGAAAGGCATATTGTACTTACACAGAGTGGCCCTTCCATTCTTCGTTTAATATCGTTAATGCTTGTATTATCAGGTACATAGGAAGTATATGCTCTGGAAGTATAAATGAAGTGTGGTGCTGAGCACCTTTAAAAAGAAAGTATTGTTTATATGTATTTCAAATGAAAATGAAACTTAGCTTTTTTAGTGCCAATAAAGACTAAGAAGCACAGTTCTTGGGTTTATGTGTAGCAGTTGCATAAGAAATGGCATCATTAGCTGTCCAATTTTTGCATCTGCTTCACAGTGCTGTATGATAACATTTGAAAATTGTGTGAGTTAACAGCTGGGAGTGTTTTTAATCAAGTCTTGTGGGCGGGCCCTTCTAACACAGCTGGGTAGTGAATAATCTTGGTGAAAGGGGAGGAGAGTCTGTTCCAGTCTGGACTGGTCTTGCCCAGTTCTTTACTTCCTGTGGTGTCAATAGTACTGTTGCTGCCATGGCTTGTGAAACATGGCTTATGAAATAACATGTCTCCAGCCCATATATCTCAGTAGGATTGGTGTCCCCTTTCATTCTTCATTTGCCCACTTATAGCACAGCTAGGAAGCTTTTGTATCACACAACAGGCATATTAACCTAACCCACCTACAGAGAAGCTGGCAGCTGATGAACTATAACAAACTTCAGAGCAAACCACAAAGTGACAAATATGGGTTAATTAAATTGAAGGATTTATGGCACACAATAGATCTTCTGTTAAGGATTTTAATAATATCAAGTCAGTTGAACCATCTGGGAAGATAACAAAAATTGATTGTTGTGCTTTTGATTTTTGTTCCCCCTCCCCCTCCCCCCCCCCAAAAAAAGGTAAGCTTTAGCTTTATGGCTTAAAATTTGCTTGGAGTACAGATTGTTGATTCAAATGTTACTTGCTTTCTTAATCATGACTTGGAATGAAGGAAGAAAGACAATACATTTAAGAAATCAGCTTAATTACCTATATAGAACATGATAAAAAAAATAGCCCTTCTGTTAACAATAGTAGGTTTAAGGGTTGCTGTGAAAAACAAATATTAAAGGAATTAAATCTGGAACTAAAAGGAGAGAGTAACATTCATGTAATTCGTTTTGAAACATTTATTGACTTTAGCATATCTGGGGAGTGAATTTTAATAGTACGTAATTAAGCATACAGTGTGGTTATGCACAAATAATGCTTCATAGTTGTGTATAAACCTTGGTATAACTCTTGACATTTTCAAGTATTTTCTTCATACAGTACAGCTAAATAAACTTCTTGGAAGTATTGAATCTTAGTGTTATACTAAAACTTCTTACTATTCTATTGATAATAAATGGTTGCATAAGAATCACAACTGAAAAAGAAAAATAGGTCCCACTTTGTGTTCGAAACTACACACTAATTGTCTGTATATTGATAGGAGCCTACAGAGATTCTTATATTTTTGAAATGTTTAACTCATTTTGAGAAGACTATGTCATTTCTGTTACATGTTTATCTTTGCCATGAAAAGGATGCACCACAAATACATGTTGTAATATTTATGTATATGAAATGGATACTGGATAAGGTGACTTTTGTATGGCTGCTATGTGTATCCAACAATTGTAGTTTGTAAACTGATTTATAATTCATTTTGATTTTTTAAAAAAATATATGATTTTTTAAAAAGTCTGTGTATTGTTTTCATAAATGGGCATTGAAAGTTCTCCTATCACAACAATAAAAAATTTAGTCAAAAAGATTTCATATTTAAGAGACTTTTACTTTTCTAAAAAAAATTACACCCACACATAATCTTTAAACTAAAAAATGTACCTCATATTTTATACTTATCTAGTCATTGCTTTACTAATAACTACCATACCATAATATGATCAGGAGAAAATATTATTGTAAAACTTTACAAAATATTACAAAAGCTCATTGTAATGTATCTTATAGAATTCTTTACTGGAGAATGTTGCTGTTTTCAAAAAGTAGTTCCTACATTTCTGACAACCATTCCTTGTCCTTTGGAATAATACAACATTTCTAATTTCTCGGTATGATTCTTTTAGCCACCTGCCATTCTTGATACACTTGTAGATCCTGATCAATCA